CACTTTCTCAATGGGTTTCTTGCCACTAGCAAGCTCGAGCAGAAGAATGCCGAAGCTGTAGACATCACAACTCTCTGATGCTTTCCCTAACATAGCATATTCAGGTGCAAGGTAGCCTAAGGTACCTTTAACTCTGGTGGTCACATGTGTAGCCCCATCTGGGATTAGCTTGGCAAAACCAAAATCAGCAACTTGAGCCTGGAAATCTGAATCAACTAACACATTGCTAGCTTTGATGTCTCTATGGATTATATGTGGGGTTGCATGATGGTGAAGATAGCTGGATAAATCAAATTAAAACAATAAAATGAGAGAGAATTGCAGACAGAGGAGAAACAGCTTTTACAGTTAAAAAGAGGAGAAACTTGGGTTCAGCACTTACGCAACTCCTTCAGCAGACCCAATTACTATATTCATCCGCCGGGTCCAATCAAGAAGGCATTCAGCTGAGTGCTGGCCATGAAGATGGGAAAGTAAGCTCAAATTTGGCATGTAGTCATATACAATTAAACGCTCTTGCCCTTCTGCACAATAGCCGCGTAAACTGAGCAGATTCTTGTGCCGGACTCGTGCCAGTATCTCAACCTCAACAGCAAACTCCATGTCTGCATTGTTACTCCAGACTTTTAACCTTTTAACTGCAATCTGCATACATATCGGTAAACAATGGAATATAAGCATTGATTTCAAATATTTGGTTTTTGAAGGCAGAAGGTATCTTCACCTACTTAACATTTCATCTTTAGCACATAGTTGAACATAGTAAATATTAGAGTGACTCTTAACTAATTCTACATGGAATTAAACTGGCTTAGATTTATCATTTGCCTGATCTTTTCAGAAAGAGTAATGGACATTAATAATTGTGCACATGATATAACTTGTACAAACTTGTTCTCTCTAAGATGTTAGATCATCGTAACAGTGGTATGGCTTGAACCAAGCAATCTGGTAGTTGCAGGTGAGAACTGCAGATATAGCGCCTCTAGAAGCCTGGTGCACTTCTTCACCTTTTAGCTAACAGTATGTATAACTAATATGCCCAAATATTGGAACTGTTGATGCAGTTCTCAGTTGGGAAGTGAGACCGATGGGTAGAAAATAATGAAATGAAAACTTATTATCGACATACATCAAGCATGCCTCAACTTAAGCAGCTATTAGTCAATCTTAAGAGTTTGTAGCATTAGCACTCACCGCCAAATGACAAAGAAAAACGACATGCCTCATGTTTAGTAAAATTGGACAGGCATATACCCCACCCATGATACATGTACAAATACTATCTCCGTAGTATATCTTCCTCTCAGCGGGTGGATTCTACCATCTGAATGTAATAACGGTTTCCCTTGTTTTGATAACTAATCAGCACCACAATTTTCAACTATATTTCAAATGCACTGAACAGCTTATTCGCAGAGGCAATGCTTTATATTCGATAATTAAATCATTAAAAAACATAAAACAGAAACTCCGAAAATCAAGACTAGAACTAGCTTGAAAGAGAGGAAAGAAAATCCTATTCCCTAATAAACTCACCCACAACAAAGAAATACCTAACTAGAACTTTCACTGTTTACAAATAAACATTTATTAAAAAGATCACACCAGTGGTTCATAGATAGAGCATATGAGTGTTTTGTCCTTACAAGAGTCCAAATCTTGACATGCCTGCACCTATGTCATCCTCCTACAGAGAAAAATTGGTCTCATCCATAGTTTTTCGTTAGGCCTAATCCAAACATTTGATCTAAACCTAGCACTGAAACATCAAGGAATCATATTTAACCACAAGCCAGCCTTATGTAATCCTTCTAAATTCATATTATACCAATTCAGAAATTGAATTACTCAAGAATGCCAAACAACATTAAATTTCCTCTCAATCAAGCAATATAAGAAATTAACTTACATTTCCAAAATCTATAAACTTAATGGATTAAACAGTAAATATAATCAATGAGACTTCAGACATCTAACTAAAAATCAACAAACAGTATCCCTTTCCATTTTGCACGTTTTAATAAAATCAAGAACAATGCCTAATCTTTGTTCTTTCACAAAATGAGAAAATTAACAAGATCGATAATTATGTACTGTTGATGTTAACTGAGTAACCAACAGAGATAACAAATATAAACATAAACTGAAAAAGTTAGTGATTACTTGTGATCCATCCCAGAGCTGACCCCAGTAAACACTTCCAAATCCTCCCTCTCCAAGTTTGTTGTCATAATTAAAATTGTTTGTTGCTGCGTGCAGTTCCTTCAAGGAAAAGACCCTCCATGTTGGCTGCTTCTTTCCTCGTACTTTTCTGCACATCAGATTTCCATCAAATCAAATTGAATGCGAGATTGGGTGTTTTAGTGAATCAATTTTCTTCTCAGCAAACAACCAACTGCTCTAAGCAGACGTATAATAGCAGAAAGCCTGCTCTACTACTAATAAACGGAAACCAAAAGCAACCCGAAATCCATAGCAAAGAGGCCAGCTAATAGGCAAATTCCAGTTGATACTTGATACCCTTTTCTTGTTGCTGGAGAAATGGAACTAAAAGGATGCATTACTGCTAAATGATTGTCAGTGGCCAAGTCATTAGAAACAGGACAGAACAAAAAACCAAACATAGTCAATCCATTGATGCCTGTTTGTAATTTTGACTGGGTCGTTAAGATCCCACTCAACCTCAATTCTTTAGCCTATTATTTTCTCATTCGAAACCGACATTTCGACATTTGAATTGAAAAATTCCCCTTTCCTTCTCTGTTTATCTAGCTAAACCCAGAATGCAAATCCTCCATTCAAACTGCAACCCATAAAAATATTAAAATCTAAGAAAAAACCCAGAACCTAAACCCACTTCAACTTTCATTTTATCATCCACATGATCATATCACAAGATTTTCTCCAAATTAGAATCCACTACTAATTAAATAATAAAACAATATTCTTAAAACAAACCAACCAACAGAAATTATCAAATTCAGCTGGGAAATAAACAATGATTAACATACCGAGAAAATCCCCCTCCGCAACAAAACATTGGACGAAAACCCATAGCCAAACTCCCACCAACAAAACTCGATTATCAGAAAACGACCCCCACAAACCCAAATCAGCTCCTTTTTCTTCTCTCGTACTTTTCCAAGCTCCCTTCTGCTTCTTCTTCTTCTTCTGGGTCTTCTCAACTCTTTCTCTCTCTAGCTTGTTGCAGAATGGAGCTGAGAGAAAACGTAAAGCGGAAGCCGACGAAGAGGATCAGACGATACCAAGCTTGGAACTTCGGTCATTGGGTTTGTTCGGTGGGCAAAAAGCTGCAGTTTTGGGCGAATGCTGCGCTCTTCTTTGAGAAGCTGAATGATAACAGACGGGATTTGCAGAAAGTCCACACCCTTCTTCTTCTTGAAGCTTTCTTTTAATATCTTCTGTGTTTTTTCAAGTTTTTGGTCCACCTGTTACCATTTTCTTCAATATTTATTTTCAAACCGCACCCAATTTTTTATTTTTTTACAAAACCCAAATTTTTATTTTTCAAACCGCACCCAATTACGGTTTGTATTTAATATTTTCATTTAATTTATTTACAGTTTTGCCATTTTTCTCATATTTATTAGGGAGCGTTTTTGTTTGCAAACCGTAAACTATGATGTATGCTCACTGTATGTATAATTTGTTTGTATCATACTTAGAGCCTCTGTATTTAGATCTCATATAAATACTCGGAGAACTCAAATGTAATTATGTAATAGATGAAGTGGCAAATATGTAATAAGTGAAGAGCCTTTATTTTATAAAAGGACTCCTCACTATCCTCATTAAGAGAGGTCAATTCTTAGGCCATGAGAGAGAGCTCTCTCACCCGTAGAAGCTCTCTTCCTCACATACAAAACCACAAGGCTCACAAACAGAGAAATACAATATCAATGTGGACGTAGCCCAAACATTGGGATGAACCACGATACATATTGTGTTATTTACTTTCTTGCAGATTCACGGTCGGATTTACGTTGTTCCAAGACCCCTCCGGCTTTGTGCATCAACATTTGGCGCCGTTTGTGGAAAACGACACAAAAAGTTATGTCGGTTCTCTTTCATTTTTTCATCTCACCACAATGTCACCGTGAATCTCAGAACTCCAAGATTCCAGTTCTTATTGGCTCTGCAGTTCCTCATGCTAATATAGTCTCAGATGCTCTGCTACTAGTATAAAGTAGGAGATCTAGATGCTTGGGGAATACCAACTTATGCAAATCCACAAGTCTACACCAAATGGTCAAAATACCACCAATTTGAGCTTGGAGATTCTTTTTTGTTCTTATACCCACCAAGCCAAGACTCGGTGATTCAAGTGACAGCACAATCCTACGGTAGCTGCAACCTCAAAGATCCAATCTTACTATTCCCCTCCCTCTTTCTCTCTCATTTCTCTCTCTCTACAAAATACACAGATTTAAACAAAAAACCCAATTCGTATCTCGAAACTCCACAGCCAAATCACAACCCAAAACATCAAAGCTCGAAGCTTTCCAATGGGGTTTCCAGTTAGGTACACAGAGCTTCTGCTCCCAAAGCTCTTCATCCACACACTCACTCTGCTGGGTCAAATCCGAAAGCTCATCTTCACCTTCTTCTCCCTGCTGGGTCTCCAAGATTTCATCGAGCCCGACAATGCCTGGTCTGACCCGCCAATCTGATTCCCGGGGTTCCACTCTATCTCTGCCGTTCTGATCAGGGAAATTCTTCCCTTAGCGAAGTTCTCAGACCTAGTTAACCCGCCCGAGTCGTGCGTTGTGTGCTTGTACAAGTTCGAGAGCAAGGACGAGATACGACGGCTCACGAACTGTTGTCACGTTTTCCACAAAGGGAGGTGGTAGATCAGGACATGATCAACACAATATCATCATGAGCTGCAGTAGCCGAGGTGAGGATTGTGTATATTTAGAGAAAACTGGGGGGAAGATGAGAGGGATTGAGGAAGGAGGTGGTTCTTGGATACGGTGATGGTCCGAGGGGCAAGATCTGAAAGGTTGTTTTTCAAGCCGGAAGACACGAGCTCCATGGTACAAAAGGCGAAAGGCACTGGTGAAGGAGAGATGAAGAATCGGAGATTGAAGGAAAAGTACGATACCAGTCATCTTGGTCAATGCCTCTGATACCAGTCACTTCGGCTACTTTCAGAGGTCCAGCATCAAGGAGTTCGTCGTCTTCGTCGGTCGCACCGTCACCCCACTCACCCGCCGAACCAACACCAGTTCGTCAAGCACAAAGAGTATAAAGTACATGTTTACAACAGCAAATGACCTCTATGCGCTGGGCTTTATGGATGATCATTATCCCATTCGAAGTGCATTTTCTCTGCTTAACTAGGTGCTAGATGAATATCAGAAAAATTTTGATGATTCTTAGAGGACTGCAAAACAGGATGGCACACAACCATGGCCTTATTTAAGTAAGGCTCTAACAAAATTCCAGGACCAGCTGCGGCAGCTCAAGCGGTTCAATGTCGACAAGGACTGCCTTGCCTTTGATAGGTTGTACTCTTTTTGCCAGACCTACGCCGGCGGGTCGGTCAGCGGCGCTGTGAAGCTCAACCATGGGATTTGCGATATTTCGATTAATTGGGCTGGCGGTTTGCACCACGCTGAAAAGTGTGAGGCTTCTAGGTTTTGCTATGTGAATGACATTGTTCTTGCAATTTTGGAGCTTCTTAAGCAGCACGAGCGCGTTTTGTATGTAGAGATTGATATTCACCAGGGAGATGGTGTTGAGGAGACGTTTTACACGACAGACAGGGTCATGACCGTTTTATTTCATAAGTTTGGGGATTATTTCCCTGGCATAAAGGACATTAGCGCCCTTATTGATGCTCAGATCCCATCTCATGTGACATGGCTCACCTTAGCGGCGATCCCATCTCCTGCGAATACCACGAGCACTAGTGGAAAACGGGAAGAAGATAAACTTTCTCAATAACAATACTATAATTATTCCTCTTGTCTGCCATCTGCCAACTGACCATTACAACCAACAAGCGGAAGAGGAAAAACAACAATGAAGATGCCCACACTTTCATCATGCATGTTCCCATTTTCTGAGAAAGCAAAAGCAAAGTAGAAAAGAAAAGAGAAAAGAAAAGAGAAAAGAAAAAACAGAAACAAAAGCAAAAGCAAAGCAGAAAGCAAAATAAGATAAAAAGAAGCAGACATAATTACGGTGGTGATGACATGCAAAAAATGGAATTATAGGCGTGACCCATTGAACAAATGATCGGATTTATTTTTGAATGATGTGATTTATTTATTTTTTGGAGACATTTGTATAAACCCATCAGAGGGTAATAGTACAAAAAAAAAGGCAAGCACAAAATAATGGGCTAGAATGTTATGTGGAGGGCAAAGGCCATATGCCCAAAAGAGTCAGGCCCTCTATTATCACCAACCAGGTGATCAAAAGTACGCCCAATACTCCAAAATTTTTCGGCAGCCTGCCTCTATTATCACCAACCAGGTTGATCAAACGTACAGTCAGTACTCCAAAATTATTCGGCAACCTACTACTATTATCACCAACCAGGTGATTAAAAGGTGATCAAAAGTACGCCCAGTACTCCAAAATTATTCGGCACCCTGCCGCTATTATCACCAACCAGGTGATCAAAAGTACGCCCAGACTCCAAAATTATTCGGTAACCTGCCACTATTATCACTAACCAGGTGATCAAAAGTACGTCAAGTACTCTAAAATTATACTTGAGCATCACTCATGTCAATCATACATAAGCATTCATGAGCATCACTCATGACAATCATACATAAACATTCATGTCAACATTCATGAGAATCACTCATGTCAATTTTCATGAGCATCACTCATGCCAATCAAACATAAACATGCATGAGCATCACTCATGCCAATCAGCTTCGAAAGCTTCATTTACATAGCTCTAGCTTCGAGAGCTCCAGCTTCAAAAAGCTTCATTTACAAAAGCTCCAGCTTCAAAGCTTCACTTGCAGAGCTTCACATACAAAGCTTCAGTACATGGTATACAAGTACCGCCTCCGAACAACAGCCACTTCGGCCCATACATGGATTCAATTTGAAGTCTCCAGCCAACAGGCCCTATTGACTAAAGACTTGGGGGACTACATTATGTACCATATATTGGGCCTCAACTGGGCCTCATGAAAAATACTTGGGGGACTTAGCCCATTATTTATGTACTGAGGAGCGAGCTCTTATTCTATAAAAGGGACTCCCTCACCTTCATTAGAGAGCATCACCACCAGCTGAGCAACCGCCTCGCCTCAAGCATTACTCCTAACCCATTATCCATGTACGAGGAGCAAGCCCTTATTTTATAAAAGGGACTCCCTCACCATCATTAGAGAGCATCGCCGCCAGCTGAGCAACCGCCTCACCGCAAGCATCACTCCTAACCCATTATTCATGTACTGAAGAGCGAGCCCTTATTTTATAAAGAGATTCCCTCACCATCATTAGAGAACATCACCGCCAGCTAAGCAACTGTCTCGCTGCGAGCATCACTCTTAGCCCATCACTTATGTATTGAGGAGCGAACCCTTATTCTAGGACTCCCTCACCATCATTAGAGAGTATTGCCGCCAGCTGAGCAACCGCCTCGCTGCGAGCATCAACTCTAGCCCATCATTTATGTATTGAGGAGCAAGCCCTTATTCTATAAAAGGGACTTCCTCACCTTCAACGCTATAAGCCGAGCCAACCAAGGCAACATAAGCCACAAACAGAGCAGCCTCGCAACATGTGCTACTTCTGGTTGAGCATCATTTCAGATTGGGCACCAACTCATATCAAGTATCAGTTTTAGACGACATCTACTTACTTTGGCCCACACATGGACTGAATTTCAAGTCTCCAACCAAAAGACTCTCTTGACTGAAGACTTGAGGGACTACTGTTTGTACCATACTTATGGCCTCCGTATTTAGATCTCGTATAAATACTCGGGGGACTCAAATGTAATTATGTAATAGATGAAGGGACAAATATGTAATAAGTGATTAGCCCTTATTCTCTATAAAAGGACTCCTCACTCTCCTCATCAAGAGATGCCAATTCTTAGGCCATGGGAGAGAGCTCTCTTACCCGTAGAAGCTCTCTTCCTCACATACAAAGCCACAAGGCTCACAAACAGAGAAATACAATATCAGTGTGGACATAACCCAAACATTAGGGTGAACCACGATACATCTTGTGTTATTTACTTTCTTGCAGATTTACGGTCGGATTTACGTTGTTCCAAGACCCCTCCGGTTTTGTGCATCAACATAATTATTTGCCAAGTATCATTTCACTTAATTCTAGTTAATTTTTTTTCAAAATTGAAAAAGTAACATTTAATGTGAAAATTACTAGAGTTAAGTGAAAAGATACTTGATTATTTATGTCTCGAATTTATGATAAAAGTATACACCATGGTTTATAGTGGTAGCAAAAATGCTCCCTATTTACTTCTTTTGTTTAGCAGTGGTTACTAGTTTTGTAATCGAGATCAAAATAAGTAGTTAAATTTCAATTACGGATTATTTATGTATTTTTTGGCTAGTGAAAATTCAAAATAAATAAGGTTGATATAAAATAAGAATTCAGTTAAAATATGTCTATCTATTTATATTCATATTATGTCTCGAATTTATGATAAATCAATAATATATTTTACTTATATTATAATATGGGAATTGACAAAGCTATCACACTCAAGATTTATCTCGACTTATTTCTTAAACGAACACTCTTTCACTCTGTCATTCACTACAAGAACTAATCTTGGAGCGTGAAAGGAAACTTTACACCACGTTACTTTGACTCAAAGGGTGAACTTTCTTGGAAATAATTGAATTTGGGGCCGATACATTACTGTTCCAACATCCAACTCATAATTAAGGTTTCTTTGGAATAAAAGAAAGTAGTTACACATGCATGAGTGTTACAATTAATTGCATTAAAATATGATATTATTGGTATGAATTTGGCTTTAAACCGTCCACGTCCTCGGTGGGTTTCCTTTGTTCCAAATGGTGACAAAAGACAGAAAACTTTATAAAAGAAGGGCAATGAATCACAATGCTAAAATATTTAAATGGAATTTCTAGTTAAAATAGTCGTTGAAATTTGCATAATTCCTCACTTTGATCATTGAGAATTAAAATCAATAGAAGTGGTTCTTGAGATTATCCACTATCAATTATTTTGGTCCTTAAGTGAAAAATTATGTTAAATAAGGATTAAAATGACAAAAATATCCTCAAGTTAATAAACAATAGGCCAAATGATTTGACCAAAATTAAGGGTATTTTTGTCATTTTATTATTATTTTATAGAGATTTTTCACGGAATGGCCAAAATGATTGATTGTGGATAAACTCGTGGACCAATTTTATCTATTTCAAATCTTAGGGATCAAAATGAGGAGTTATTCAAATTTCAGGAACCATTTTGGCTAAAAAGCCTAATTAAATATATACAAAGAAGGTTGAGGTTGCACCATAAAATTAATTGGCAATATGAAGAGTAACTCAACTTATTTATAAATTCATGCCTCCCATCAATGTAAGATTCATTTTCACCATGCCCCTTATGTGTGAAAAAATTTCAAACCTAACACGTGGACAACACAAACAGGATGACATGGAGCACGTGTGGCCGTTGGGCTTCACACGTGAGGCAACCTACTTTGATACCATGAAGAAAGTTGAGATTCTATCATAAAGCCAATTGGCAATATGGGGAGTAACCCAACTTACTTATAAATTCATGCAAAGTCCATCGTCCCATCAACGTAGGATTCATTCTCTACAGTATACAAGTAGATGTTATTTGCAAGTGATGACTCCATTGCCTATTAGTTTTGCATACATGTCATAATTTAACATTTAAAAGATTAAAATGTCATTATGCACTTTGTATTTTTCTCTGATGTCTCTGTGAGTCTTCCTGACATCGGCAATGGTGGATTGACGTAAGAAAGTCACCAGCTGATTTACTTTTTTTTTAAGGAAAAAAATAACCTACATTACAAAATGTGGTAAGTGTAGCTTTTCTCTATTTTTATTTTTCTTTTAAATTCTTTCACGAGAATACATGTTAACTATTTTAGAATGCTAATCTATACTCACCCAAATATTTGATTTGTTTTGACGTCTACAAAAGTTAGTATCTAGTTTAGTATGTAAAATCAACCAAAAGTTGTACAAAATGTTTTGAAATAGTCTCATTTTCACTATCTATAGATAAATTCAAAAAAGATGGTGCTATCTCATAAGAGTAATATTAGAGACAACAAATTTTAAGATGTTAATGACGTGCTAATGTTTTATTTGTTCTCTGTATGATCCTCTTCTGACCTTATTCATCCACAAGAAATAAGAAATTATCAAGTTCACTGGTATATAAAGAATGTGTCATTTGTGTCATTGATCTAGAAAAAAAAGATGTGATAACATTGCATGATTGCAATAAGAAGGAAGAATATCCAAAAAGCAAGAGATTTCACATTCTCCTTCAAACTATATGATAGATGGTGAATTGGTTCAAAACCTTTTACTTGCCCTAGTGGAATAATACTAACACCCTTTTTTCTTTAAAAAAAACAAATAATACTATTTACACTAAAAGGAATGGGGTGAGTAATGAAATAGCAATATTTGTGATTCAAATTCGTCTTTGACGAGAATCGAATTTAAAATTTTTCATTTATAAATAAAGAGAAATATCACATACTAATGACAAAATAATACTAACAGCTAACACCTTATTTTGTGGAAATATTGTTCAGTCGATCTCAAAAGTCAAAACTTTCTTGAACCAAGTGAAAACAACTTTCACTAAACCAAATGATCGTTGGTGAATAATTATTGATTTACCAATACGAATCAACCATTTCATCTGCCCCCAGAAGGTTTTAACTTTTCTGTAATTATTTTTCAAAGTGATTT